TACCAGTAACAATTCTTATTTGGTGGATATGGAACTACGGGACTTCTAAACTTTAAAGAGTATAAACACTCGACTTTAAGTTTGTGAGGTCGGGAGTTCGAAGCTCACCTGTAAATGGAAAACTTGAAAGAGAACTGACAGACACTAAAGGAACTGCAAACTTGGCAGTATATAAACTAGCAACGAGCATTTGAGTATTGTCTGTAGTTTACGCGAGGATCGCTTAATATATCCGGTAACTTAATATAAATTTAAGAATACTTCCTCTTTAAAAAATATCCTCGTGTAAATGTATTTTTTAAGATTAATCAATGTTTAATTGCTAATTAGCAAGAAGGGTATTTTTGGTTGGTCGAAATGTATTATACCGATTATTCGATAGAGTTATATAAAAAAAAAATAATTTCAAACATGCAAACAACTAAACAACGTTCGCCGGATTAGGTGTTTTTATAAGAATGATGTCTTTATAGAGAATATTTCCTTTGTTAAAGTAACGTGCGTTAATTATTTATGCTTTATGTGGTTTGTATGTTACTATTACAGGATAATGTTAACTAAGAACCTAATCGGCGTAAGTGACTTATACGAAGCGAATTGTATCACGTATGATGCAGCTGCGTACAGTTGGGACTGAAAGAGCATTGGAGTCGCTATTCTTTATCATTCATCTAGATATTAATGACATTGGGTTTACTTGATGGTAGATGAAATACTGCAGACATATACAAGGTGCACTGTCGACCATTTTTGGCTTTGGATATTCGGAAATCCACAGACTGAAGCCGAAACGCGATGAAACTTCACGGCTTTTTCATCTGTGGACGGAATTTCCATATTCCTACCACGCATTTAATATCCAGATTTCCAGTCTAAGTCTAACATGTTTTAGAGAAATAATAAAAATGTTGAACCTGGTGGAGATCGAACCGAATTTAACTCGGTCAAGAGTAACGTATTAGACAAACTATGTACCATTTTATCTGTTTGCACTATTCCTAATACAAATGTAATTAAGGTGACGAAATTGAGTTATTAAAATAAATGACCCATTTATTAGATTTCTTTGAAGTTCGGTTTCAAAGGCGACTCCATAGCTTTTAGTGCATTATTGACTCAAGTGTACATTACTCGCATTCTTCAATTAGTCAGAGCGGAGTACTTTATATCTTTCTCTGCATAGCGCATGTTTTATTTATTAGTATCTACTGGGTATATGATTATAATAATGAGAAATATCTTGAGGCCCTTTTTAATCGAATATCGGAGTACTTTTTGATGACGTCAATGGTCAGCACACCGATATCGGGATATTACACAGGCAAACTAATGTCTGTAGTTAACGCGAGTGATATTGCGAATTAAAATGCGAAATATACAAGTACATTTATTTTTGACCACGACGTTTCGTGGTCATGGAGACAATAAAGGTAACTTATCTAATATGTTTCGTGTTTTAAAAGGTTAAATTTGTTTTATTTAAAGACACTTTCGAGTACACTTTTAAGGGACCAGTGTTTTCTTCACACTTTACTCAATGCTTAAAAATATTACAAAACTTCGTACAAAAAACTCGTTTGCAATTTTGCCAAATATGTAAGCACGTTGGTGGAAGGTCGCAGGTTTGAATGCTTATCATAAAAACCAGATGTAATAACACCTACGTTGCAGGACTTTTTTAGCCAAGGTTAATATTTGAAGTGTGCTTTGTCTTAAATTATGCATTAATCAATTTTATATGTTTAAAATGTCGTTTTTTGGGATGAAAAATACGTTATGAATATTTTGCAGAATGCAGTCATATCTGTTTGTATGCATCAACTTAATCCTCAGAATGAGTGAAGTAGAATCGAACCTGTCAACTCTTTTTGAGCGTGTTAGACAATATTTTAGTCAAAAATCTTACTTTCATGTTTTTTATCGTTTCTGAAATAATGAACACGCAGTTAACAGGTACCTCATGATAACCTTTAACTTGTGTGGGGTTTCTAGAGTTTAGTTCAATAATTATAAAAAAAATACTTTCATGTTCAATAAAGATAACGTTGCTTCCTCGTTCTATGTCTCACTATAGGTGTTTAGCCTAAACGTATTTCGCGTAATGCATACTCGATACTCAGTTTCTAGTAATTGATATAATTTTATATTTAAAAGCTATCCATTTCGCTTGCACTGATAAGCTCCGCGATTGAGGTCGTTCACACAAGCCATATTTTTATGTAAGCGACTAGTTGCCACACAGTGCCGCCGCACCTCATATAAAGTTCAACGTGACTGATTAAGTAACGAAGTATAACGCTGATATATTGCCAGGCTCACCTCGTCGGTTCACTTACTATACATATATATATATATGGTGTACTTTAAGGATGTACTTTAGCAATATGAAATGCTCCTTAGGTTAATAAATTCACATGTATTAGTTAACAAGACAAGTTTAAAAAAGTTATGTTGGTCTTTTGAACACTCTGTAGAATCACGACAAACAGACAGACAAACAAAAAGAAATTGACGAATCTAAATAATTTTTCAACTGTTAAAGAGAATAAAGCATTTCTTTTTATTTTATTTTAGTTATCACTATATAGCCAAAATTATAAAGTACAGTAAATGTACCTACATGGTAAATATTTTCAAATTTATGTCATATTTCGTGGAAAAATGTCATTGTGGAATTTCTTCAAACCATTGATGTAAAAATATTATAGATTTTAATAGCTAATAAGACTAGTTAAAATCATATGTAGTTAACATCGATTAGAAACTGAAAAAAAATATGATTCAAGCAGGACAACCGGCATTCTCAGCGTTCCGTGCTGTTGCTCTAAACAATTGAGCTACCGAGTCCTACACGTCATAGTCCATTTTTTTTCAACTTATTGATGTCTATCTCTTCGGTGCCAGAAGTCGTAATTTTTTTATAATTTATAATAGATTTTAATTTTTATAGTGCCATGATGTGCAAAACATGTGAAAAATATTAAAGTTTTCAATCATATTATATAGTATTAAAGTTAAAAAATTGTCGAAAAGCTTTCGATTCCATTACATCGTGACCCAAATATGGCTGAATACTGTCTGTTTGTCATGCTATCGACCCGGGCAAGTGGGGCAGCGTGACACAACGACACCTCCCCATTGAGTAATTTCGTTTAATTGTTTATGTAACATTAGCAAATTCAGACGGATGGATAAAAATAATACCGAGATATATCAAACACTTAATTATATCAACTTGAAAAGGTTCACTCAGACATTACTTTACGGACTTAATCTTTTGGCTTAGTGTAAATCTATTTATATGTCAATTAAGTTTAAATATTAAACTTAATCTGTTACATAAAAATAGCAGGTGAAATAGGTAAGTTAAAATGCAAAGTATGTCTGTCTGCATTTCTTTTGTCCAAACAAAAGGGTCCTAAGATTAATATTTGAAATTAATACAACTTTTGTATTTGTACTTTATATTTAAGTATAGCCTGTAGTTGACTTGAGTAGTGCTCATTTAAATAAAACACTTTTAACGGTTTAAAATGCGAAAAATATGAAATACAAAACATGTCAGTTAAAATAAACCAAATAAATTTTAACTAATATACTTCGTGTTTTAAGCCGTTTAACGTGTTTTATTTAAATACTATATAATATGTAGTATTTTTAAAGTGTCGTGGTATAACGGTAGCCAGTATAAATTACGATAAATGTACTTACGTTATAAATAAATAATTTCAAAATTATGTCATATTTCGTGGAAATAATGAGAATCAGTCTTATCCAAGACCTGAATGTGAGCAGCAGTCGCAATGTCGCAACTCTTAATATGAATTGCTAAAGACTTACGCCGGCAAAGTACAGTAAGATACGGTCAATTTGCTTTTCCGTAATCCAAACTTACATTAAAATAGTTCTTTGAGCGAAATGAAAATAGGGAAATTTATTCATTTTTCTCATTCATTGAGAATTTTAAGACTTTAGGTGATAACGAATAATCGAAAATCAAGATTATTTGGTATATTTGTAAAATAAAAACGTCAAACGTATGAGTAGAAATAAATTTGAAATTAGCTTAGCTTCATGATGTGACCCAGACCGCCTTCACGATTTGTGCACTATCATATACCTCTATTTAATTATTTCAAGTACCTATTATTATTTATTGATATCGGCAAAAAATAGACAATAATTAATATTATTTTCTATAAATAAACGTTTTATGGCCATGGGAAATGACTGTTATCGCTTTACTATATCTTAAATTAACTAATAATACCGAACGGTTCCATTCAACAAACATCAACGAAACGGCCGGGGTCAAGGTTCAATTCTTAAGACGCTGTACATACTTTGTTCTCTTTGCACTTATGCGAATTCAAATGTGCGCGATAAAGCGAGTAGTGCTCCTTCTAAATCCGTTCAAAATATAACCGTTAGTGATTCACTAGGAATTTTTCGTAAAATCTTAAAAGAGTTTGGTATTTTTTAAAGTAACAGGGACCTTCTTATATATGTATGTCGTTTTGTATGTGTGGGATATATACATTACATTAATTATTAAGAAAGCGCGAAGTAATAAATCATATGACATTAATAAATAATTTTAATTACAGTGAAAACTTTTTAATATCATTATTCTTTGTAAGAAAGGAGGTCACACCATAATGGTCACCCCATACGGTAATAACTATCTATTGCTATAATAATACTTATTGACCTCGTGAATTTCGTAATAAAAACTAAACTGTACCCTTCAATATATATTATATTTTGTCATTGAATGAACAACCTGTTTGTTTCAAGTTTACCTTTCAAGACCCCACAAGCTTAAAATAAACGAATAATATAACAAACTAATCTTAAACAATTAAATTACTTGATATTATTATAATTGGTTACCTAAAAAACAAACACCTAAAGTATTACAATTTGATACGTCCTATAATTTACAAAATTTAAGTAAGTTTAAAGCTGTTTAATTTAAGTTTGTAATTGTTGAAACTTACCTGCATTTGCAAAAGCCGTGACCCTCCAGTTTTTTCCATGTTGCACTTTTTATATAACTATACAAAACACTAATATTACGAGATATTATAAAAAATAAAACAATAATACAAAAACACGCGATTTATCAAAACACATCTATTATTTATTTACAAATTTTGACTAGACACATCAAAAGTGACGCTTTTTGTCTGCCGCTAGACGATTTTCGAAATTCAAATGCGGTCACAGAGTAACGAACACCGATTAAACAAGTGAGCTGTCGCTTGGCGACTAGTAAACTCAGCTGTATCGCTTAGCCCAGCTGCAGTCTGCGACAATAGATGGCGCTGTAAGGGAGGGGCAGTTTTTATAAAGGTTTGCAGATAATATCCGCACGACGTTTAATTAAGAGATTGTAGATTAAAATTAATTCATCTTATTTCGAATTTGGATGACTTTATTATAAGAATTTTTGGCATAGTTGTTATAAGGGAAAATGTTTTTATTATTATGATACGTTCGTACGCTAACCCGACAATAATTTGCTTTTGCTTATTCCTTGAAGGCGCGATCTTGTTTATTTTAAATAATATATTCTGGCTTGGACTTGGCATTTCCATAAAATATATTAAAAAATAACAAATATCTGCTAATGATGGACGATAATCCTTCGACACTTCCTAAAGCTGTTATTCGAAGCGAAATAAGACAACGTTATAACCATAAAGGCATTTATTTTACAAAAGTTACATACAAACATTCAATACGTGAACGTCACTAGTACAGATTTTAACACGCGACACGTCTTAGCTACGCACGACTACGCGATTTATTTGTCGTTTACATCGTATAATTTACATGAATGCACATTGCAACACTTTTTTAGAATAATGAAAAGGTTTTTTATTCTGTATAGATGTGCAAATCTGTCTCTACAATAATTTTGGCGGTAACTTTGGCGTTTTGGCGAGATATGGTTGAGCAGTGTTTAAAAAATCGTTTACAATTCAGAACAAATGTTATATTAAAAGTAATAGTAATTTTGTCGCAATCTGCACTCATAGCGATCTAGATCTACTTGCATCGATAATTGGATATTTAAACATAACATAAATACACATGGCAAAATAAATAATAATTATACCTTGCAATAAATATATCAAATCAAAAAACAAACACTACTACTCAGATGGTGTAACATTTAAAATCGTAAATACAACTATTGCAGTGCTTTCGCGAATATTTGTAATTGCGGGGAAAATAAAAAAGGACCTCAAAATCGATTTTTTTCAGCTCTTAGTAAAATAAATTTTGTATTTTACAATATTTATCATAAAAACTAAATGCAAGCTCTCATATAAAAATATTATATTATAATTAACATTCGACGACACCTGCGCCACAATATTTTGCAAAATATAACTTTATTATGTCAATTCAATAAAAATATCTGTATTTAATTTATAATTGTACACTAACCGCCTGAAACGTTATGACCCAGCCTATTTTCTTGTTATTATAACGATAAAGGAAAGCATAAAATTAAAGTTACAATACATAAAACATTTTTTTTTCCTGTGTGTAATTTTTTTCGGTGTGATGTCGTGTTTCCATACATCCATTAGGTTTTACCTATCATTTTTAATTAATTACTATAATTATACTCAATTCATTTATTGCTACAACATCTAATATTACATTGCAGATTTATTATTAATACCAAAGTGTTGGCACATTGGGACAAGATTTTTTATCTTAATAAGAATATCTATAAAGACAAGTAAGTAAAAAATTGTGTCAGCTGAACCACGTGACGTATATGTACGCCTGCTTAGTCAGCGTATAAATACACTCGACTGCAGATTACGAGGCTCACGGTAACAAAATCCAAGTGGGGCACAATGGTAGTATGTATTAAGATAAAAAAAAGTAGTTAGTGTTTAGTGTTTATAAACGTCCGCCAACCTGCACTGGTGCAGCGAAGTGGGATTTTTTGGATCCATCCCAGTATTTTAGATCTTACACATATTATATAGTTTGAAGTTAATGCACGCGCAGAAAAAAAATGTAAGAACAAGAATTGTGTAAGTTTTGGCCAAACTACTTCAGTCTTCGCTTAGACGAACGCACAACATCTTGTGATCTCCGTGATGTGGCGAAAGCTCAAAAATCCAAGAAGTAGTTAACAATGATATTGATACATGAATAAATCTGCAATGCAACGCATCGCAGGACAAGGAATGCCGCGGTTACCGCGCGTTCAGCACACACGCGACTCACAGGTAACATACGTAAGGCAGTCTTTGGGTAGGTCGGAACATTTTAGCGACTAGATATTAAATTTCATTCAATTACTCTAATTACACACCTACCTACATATCGGTTTGAGGCCGTCGTCGTTTCGTGGCGTCTGTTTTTGGTCCTATTCGTAAGGCCTAACCGAGCTAGGTTCACATGGATTTTTCTAGTATTAATTTCGTCACCCTCGACCTCTGGAAGGGTTCAACGACCACATAACTACGTCCTAACACCGATTTTTCACTTACGACTACATAAAATAGATCTTTAATTGGTGTTATCGGGGATCAAGCGAGTCTTATCTTATAAAAAAACCAGTTAAAAATGCAATTCAATTTAATCTTTGTGCGATTAACGTTTAAATTCTTTGGGATTCACCGTTTACCCTGGTTACGTGGTTTTATAAAGGTTCCAAAAAAATATATCACGTGGAAAGAAACGATATAAAACAGGGTACAAAACTGTGATCGTATAAAAAGGAAGATTCGAAACATAGCGATATAAATCTTACCAAATATGGCGTTTGATTCTACGGTGCTTATATTAACGACTAAGATTGTCCACCCACAGTAGTGTAGGCCGAAGAATAATCTAGTCTACACACACGTTCTATGACGAACACAAACTATAGAGCATGCAACTAGTATTGAAAATTCGATCGACTTTTCGATCAACAATATTCTCTCGACTATTACCATAAATGGTAATTGTATAAAAGTCATAAGACGCTCCGATTCTCATATTTCTCTTATAATTGGCACATGAGTACAATTGTGACCAGCACATCTGAATTGAGCAATTGTGAACAGAATCCAACATAGACAAACAATACAAACTAATCATTATTATATATATATAATTAAAACTATTTTCGGGGTACATGCGTGACAAATCGAACTATTCAACGAAGGAAATTCTAGAAAGACGCAATCGTTTTGTTCAATCGGTTCTTAAAAATTTTTCGATCGATTGAAAAAGTAATCGTTGGTAATTTACAATATCATCTGTAATTTCGATTCGATTTCTTTGGTTATTCGATTATAATTAATGCATTTTCTTTCAGTACATTCCACCACTTATCAGCGACGACTAGTCACGCATATACAGCGAAATAGTATAAAAAGTCCATTGATATTCGACATGGATGTGTAAACAATGACACGAAAAACGAACTTAATATAAAAATATAGTTAAATAATTTACTCTAAAAGTTTTTACATCATGAAATCTCCGCAGTCGACGCCAAAGTCCCAGTCGTCTGAAACCGTGGCAGTGTCGTCGTATTCAGCCAAAGCCTGCTCGTAGGCCGATGCTTCGTATGCCGTTACTCCATCCAGCATGGAGCACGCCTGGGACACGTTCGTATGGTGCATGATGGGCATCGCGTGTAGGGCGAAGTCTTCGCCATCTTGTGACCAGGTCAATCCTGAAAATTATATGATTTCCAATTATTGAGAAGAAACAAATGACTATGGTTAGGAAAAAAATAAAATGTTTTTGGTTGATGTAGGAGTAATTACTACTAATTGTTTGGTGAAATAATATATTTTATTAAAAAAATATTTCAAATGAAGGTCTCTTGGTATTTCGCTTACATAATATGAGTTTACATAAAGAAATCCGTTTGTATCAATTAACCTCGCATATCAAAAATGAAAATAGGACACATTACTCTTTGCAGTTTACGCGACTAGTACATATTTAAATAACATATTTAACGGTTTAAAACGCGATATATATTAGTTAAACTTATTTGTAAATTATTTTAACTACGGCCTGACGTTTTGGATGCTTTGCAGCAGCCGTGGTCACGATAGTACAATAGGGACAAGAGATTTGATGTTAAAAAACTTACTTCCGCTCCAAACCCCATTAGGGAGGGTAACCCAGCCCCATCCCTGTCCCCAAGCTAGCTCGTGGTTCAGTTGACCAGCCAGAGGCACTTGACGCTTGATTACCGCTACCAGTCCACGACCGTCTAAAGCGCCCGTGGCGTTACGAGAGCATCGTGTGTACACCTCTGATGAAGTTGCTGAAATGGTAAAACCAGATAAATAATAGCGACCAAGTGCGAGTCCAACTCGCAAACGATGGGTAAAATTATGTTTGATGTTAGGGCCCCTAACAAGAGTCCATAGCATTGGTTATGCACCCTTCTATGTTATATGCATTTTTGTTTTGGAAACATTTTAGACCCGGTGTCATTAGAACCCAAGATCTGATGATTCTTTGCATAAAGGACACCATCCGAAGATATTGATATATAACGTTTTAGAAATTAAAAACACTTTGTTTCATTGGAAATATGAGAATCTTTGACAACTAAGGAAAAATGTAAATTTCTGCAATTCGTTAGAAACAAATCATTTTTTTTCTTAACGACCCTTCTCTTCTTTAGCAAGTTGTAAACACGCTTTATATAGCTTACCATATCCAGTATTATCAAAGCTTAGCTCTCTAGAGACAAATCAATGTATGCCTGCTTTTCCCTTATAAATTCAAGTTATATTGACACAACTAAAACCCGGCTGGATGACCTACATTCTGCGATAAGTGTATATAGTAGATAATTTTAGCTCAAACTAAATGTCAAATATTATAGAAATAACTATGATACTAATATAATTTAGTCTGAGTATAAAAATTAGTAACTATAAAAACTACCGATTAATAATACAAGTCGTATGATGCCCTTTACAATTTCTAAAAATTGTATTCATTAGCTTGACTCTTTATAATTCAAACGACCAAATTGTTTTTGATAGAAAATAAAATTTTGTGATATAAGTACATAGATATAAGTTACTTTGATATTTAAATAAAACACTTCTATCGCGTTTTAAACCGTTAAAGTGTTTTATTTAAAAGTGTACTACTCGCGTAAACTATAGGCAGTATTTACTTTGATAATAACTTACGTTGCATAGTATTTCACTAGCTGAAACGATTAAGGACTTTTTATTTTATACCGTCAAAAGGGCTAAATATAAAATGAAATTAAACTTTGTCATAGAAGGGTGAAAATTTATGGCTTTATGATTTTTTTAATTAAAACACCAAAAAAAAAATAAAATTTTTTTTACCGACCGTACTGATGGCATACGTGCAACTATTTAAGAAATTCCCGATGTCTCGATTAAGCGAGAAACGTCACGTTTAGTCGTGAAGGCGAAACGTCAGAAATAATTCCGAATTACGACGTCCCACCTAAAACTCAAGTAGATTTGCATAAGGGCCGCGATTTTTTTCCAATTTATTTATTTCATATAGTTCCTAAATAATCCATTATTTCTATAAATGGTAACGTGTAAAATATTTTATTAAAAAGGTAAATGAGATTATATTGTTGGGATAAAGCGGCCGGAGAATTATGCACGATAATAGCTCTACAAAGAAACAGCTGAGCCATTATTACTACGTATTACTTACAGAATGCCTCCCACAGCCGATGTACATTATAATTTTAGGTGGCGATGCTTTTAACGATTTCCCTCTTTTATAGAAAAGGACAGACATGTATGGGAGTCCCTTGATGGAAGGTGAAATATATAAGCCATTTTACATCTAAGCAAGATGCACTGTCTACCATAGAGGAGAGGAGAGGAAGAGGATTTGGACATACGAAAACCCAGAGACTGCTTTTTCATCAGGTCATGCTTGTGAGAGGCATTAATCCAACCAACCCTAGATATTAAGATTTTCCGGATTTAAGCATTTAAATAAAAATAAAAAAATTTTTGGGTTTTTTTTCCCCCCCTTTTTTTTTTTTTTTTTTTTGTTTTATATATATTTTTTTTTTTTAATTTGTTATTTAAATCATGACGTCGTCGTTATGACGTCAAATTTCTAAATAAAATAGTTTTGACGGTTTTAATCCCTATTAATAAGCAGTTATTCACTGAAATATAATTATTTATTAACTGAACGAATCACATATCCCTCGCGCCCCCCTTCTTCTAAAATCGTTTTTAGTAGAACGATGGCACGACAAACTGTTGGTCGTGGATTCGCGTCCTAGTTATGTCATCGTTCTAGTATAAAACATTTTTTATTAATCTTTTATCATTACCGAAGTATTTATTACATAATACAGTAAGAATTATTAAGCTTAATGCCTTTTTCATTCCACAAAAGCGTCTTATAACTCGTAATATGCGTGCAAGCTACACTTAATGAAATGTTAAACTCATTTACTTATTGGCTTAGCTCAATTTAACTTTTATACCCCGAGGTAATAGGTACATTTCTTCGCTTCGTTCTATGTTTATTTAATTAGTTCTTATGAAATAAGGAGTAAGACTTTTTATTGAGAAAATAACCTTTTTCTTCGTTGATATTTTCTATTTACGAACCGTTCTTGCTTCTATAGGGGTTTAAATGTTGGAGAAATTAGCAGTCACAATATTGTTAATTCCGACAATCTTACTGACAGTAGTTAATCAGACTTCCGTGACCTATCTAACAATAATTATTCATTATTTTTCCCAGGGAGCGAACTTAAGACTTCACCCAGGTTAACGCTAGGCAAAACTATTTAGCTATGAAGGCGGGATAATTGATCCTATAATATATGTATGTATAGTATATTATAATATAAGTCGTGGATTCGATCTCAACCCACTCACTTCTCAACCAACATATTTCTTATCAATTATTTTTTTTTAAGACATGTTGGCTTTGTGTGAAAGTTGTCCACAGGCCTGTGCCACAGATCGAAATTGGGTTTCAGTCTGTGGATTTCAGAAAATCCAAAGCCGAAAATAGCAAGAACTCATCTCAGCAAGATGTTATATGGCTGTGGTACTTCACCTTCCATCAAGTGAACCAAATGCTTGTCTGTTTTCCTCTATCAGAAAAATGTAGAGTTTTAAAATGAGTTAAGTTCCATCATAAAGAAGTATTCGATACTGTTTATAGTTTACGCGAGTAGTACACATTTATTATTATTTAAAACGTGATTTTTAACTTTGAGCCCGACGTTTTGGATGCTTTGCAGCAGAAAACGAAATGTCGGGCCGAAGTTAAAAATAATTTTCAAATAACTAACATATCGCGTTTTAAACCGTTAAAGTCTTTTATTTAAAAATAAGTATTCGGTGAATTTGGTATGTTTAAAACTTGTCTTGTTATTATATCGTCGTCTCATCCATTCTCTAGCGCACGAGTATAAAACCTAGTCTGAAAGGTGTTTGTCCTGTCATTGTCTAGGATGAGTCTAGATTAATCTGTCTGAACTCGACGATAAAACAGTAAGCCATGCTATTTTCAAGCATAAAGGAGTTAAAACGATATAGTGTTGCTAAATATAATAATAATAATTGAAGGTTTAGTAATAAGCTTTTGAGGTAGACATTAAAATCATTTTACTTGTGTTTTAATTCAACTGGTGTAACAGACAGACTAAAAGACTATATTATGGTAAGACCTAAGCCCTTTGAATTTGTTGTTATTATTTTATTTTTTAATGTTGCCAGAATGTGTGAATTTCTTAGTCGGTTGCCATATATTTATATTAAATACTAAACTAGCTGACCTCTCAAATGTTCTTTTGCTATATTAAATATTTCGTCTGAATTTGATAACCACAAAAACGGTTCTTGTGAGATAATCTTAAGGATAGACATCCGCGGACATTTTTTATATTTAAAGAGGAACCATTCTTTAATTTATTTTGTTTTCACTGTTTAATGTCGCACGCAACGAAAGCCTTTAAATATGAATAATTTCCCGGGTTTTTTTCAACTTTCCCACTGTTTCTTTGCCCCTATTGGTCACAGTCTGGTATTTTATAGCCTAAAGCGTTCCCTTAACAGATGGTTCAACCAACACAAACAAGAATTTTAAAATTTTTACGAGTAGTTCCTGAGATTACCGCGTCAAACAACAACGTCGTCACCTTTATAATATTAGAATAGATTATTTCAAATACTGTAGTTTACGTGAGTACTACACATTTAAATGAAACACAGGGCCATTTTCGCCAAATGCCAACTTCGACGGAACAGATGGCGCTAGTGGAGCAGTTTTTTGACTTTGACGTCACAGACATCCTCCATCTTTAGTCTCCCTGAGACCACCGAAACGTGGGCCGTAGTTAAATAATTCTCAAATAACTTTAACTAATATATATCGCGTCTAAAACCGTTAAAGTGTTTTATTTAATTGGTTATTTTATAAAATATTCGGAAACTTTCTAAATACGCAGTTTAATGTAGCAAAAATTAATTTGTATGGTTTTACTTAATCGATTTTTCCTTAGATTTTGTCAGCTTAGGAAAATGATGGCGTAGTGGATACAAGATTCAATAAAAATGCAAAGAGACTCTCCGTACGAACATTATCGAAAACTCATCTTAATAAGTAAACAATACATTTTATGGCACGTGTTTTTACGGAACACAACTCTTAAATTATTCCTGTATAAAAATATGTTATTTACTTCAGAGTTGAGTGCGACATTAAAAACAGGATTTAACTAAACATATAAATAAGTATATTATATATAGTTTTTCTTATATTAATTCAACTAATTATAATATTTTAACGACGTGCTTAATTGGTAACTCTTCTTCTTCTTCTTCCGTGCCTTCCCTTATTATTTTGAGTCAGCTTTCTAAGAAAACGTTATTAAAATATTTCATTATAATGTTCAAAAATGTTATAATTTAATATTGTGTTCGCAGGAATCGCACAATATACGCAACATGAGATTTGGAGCTGAGTATACCTTTTTTTGATTATTAACGCTGATAATCGATTATTCAAAAATATCGATTAATAAAGGCAAGTAAGCCAACACCTAACTTCACCGTTAAATCCAGATATATTTTATAACATGCCAATAAAAGCGAAATCCCGTTTCCCCCCGTGGGGCATGGGGCGAACACATTATTGTGTAAGTTTCACTCATCGGATTTGCTTACAATCAAGGATTCGATCAGACTTATATGCCATGCCCGACCAAATCAATTCATTGCTTCCCTGGAGTATTTAACCTAGGACCGCCTGTGTTTAACGCAATGCTAAGCAACAGGCCATTTAGGTACAGTAGTGGTTATATGACTCTAGCGAACTATTTAGAATATTGAAGGTACATACGTGACTCAGAAGCAAAGTAGTCTAGACTTGAGTTATTTATACGTGACCGGAAAGTATTTGAAATCTCTTTGTAATGCAATAAAAAATCCATCCATTTATCGATTACCTTGTAAACAAATTGCTTAAAAATAAAATAAAAATATACTTTATTCTCTATAAAATTATTAACATTATTTAGAGTCGTCAAAAAATATATAAAATAATATGTTTGTCTGACCGTACGTCGCGATTCTACAGAGTTTTCAAAACAGCAACATAACCGAGAAGAACACCCAAGAAGCTCAGTCTGGCTTTTTTCAACATGTCTTCTTCTTCAGTATAAATTTCTTGTAAACTTCTCTAGATAAACGGCATTCTTCTCATCAGCATCGAACGAATAACGAAATCATTGAACTGGAGACCGTAGACAGCAATCAATACTTCTAATAGAATTAACAGTGATATTAAAGTGAAGTCGAGTTAAAGTTGACAAAGTCATTATTCCAAAGTTGAGTAATTTAGAGCGAGTCCTAGTTAAGCTTGATTGCGGCTGTCTACCTACAGATAGTTGGTACAGATAGGGCACGACGGTACAGAGGATATATTAATTGCCTGCGATAAGACGGATGGTGCAAGATAACGTTTTATTGGGATAAGATTCAGTAGGGAGACAAGGGCCCAGGGATAAAGAAAAATCGGGCCTTCAATCCCTCTTACCGCGTAGCTTGAACTTATATTGAATGGCACCGGCATCCACAGCGTTTGGTGCAGTTGCTCTACCAATTGAGCTACCGTGTCCTACGTCGTCGAATTTTTTCAACTTATTGATATATGCACCTCTCGCGCAATATCATTTCAACCTACAAACTTGGATGTTAAGATTCAATTTTGTATGCTTTGCAGCTTAGGATAATCATTAAGTAGTTACAGAGTTTAACTTAGTAAAACTTAGTCAAATAAAATGTTGTCGCAGCACTAAAAAGTTACTTACAACATTTGTTTGCGTCCTAACCGTTTGAAAAATGGCAAACAAGGTTATTCGCCTAAACAGAGCAAAAATACCCGCTCGGAACGGGTTATAGCGAGGAGGCACGTAGGTTTTATTGAATTTTTGAAAGTGACTGAGAGCGTTATTAGATCTCGACGGAGGAACGTGAGCTGGATAAATTAAAACAGCAGCTGCATCAATGAGAGCTTCGCAGCTAGTGTCCTTAATCTCTTTTTCGTAGTGCTGAGATTTCAGACTCTAAGGAACGTTAAAAATACTTCTGATTTCTTAGTAATACATTTAAGTAAATAACTTTTAACGGTTTAAAACATGAAATATATGAGTTAACAAATATATAAAAAAAAACTACGACCCGACGGTTCTGATGATTTTCCTACATCGAGTCGCAGTTAAAATTAATTAAATGTTAACTCATGTATTTCAAATTTTAAACTGGTGAAAGTGGTACTATATATAATAGTCGCATTAGGTATAGAATAAATAGTCTGTCAGTTTTCGTGGTTGGTATTGCCATAATAATTTGAGAAATAATACTCTAATATTAATTATTCAGACTAGTAACAGTTCCCACCATATTGACAGATGACAGATGTCGAGATTATGATTAATGTATTCCTTAATGGGTTTCTCCCTAAATATTTTATTTTTATTTTGGAATAGCGCCTATCATTTGTATGCAAACAGGTATCAAACTAATGACCCTACGATTATAAACCGTTTATGATCAAGAGCACAATAGGAATAAGCCAAGGATTCTATAAATTGTAGGTACGTCTAATGAGAAATGTTTAAAGCATTTGAATAAAACACTTTAACGGTTTAAAACGCGAAATATATAGCTTAAAGTTATTTAAAATTTACTTTAATACGGCTCGACGTTTCGGATGCTATGAAAGAGCCGTGGTTACGGGGAGACTAAAGGATTCTCTAATGTCAAAGTAAAAACCGCTACGCTAACGCCATCTGTTACGAGATAATTTGTATTTGGTACATACTTCGCATTTCAAGCAGTTAAAGTGTTTTATTTAAAGGTGTAGTACTCGCGTTTACTACAGACAGTATAAAGCAATACTCAGAAAAGGTGTACAATTCAAAACTGTAATTTGATAAGCTTTCGACTTAATGTATCCCATCCCAGTTTGCACCAACACAGCCTTTCAAAGGATGAATTGAAATTTCTCCTTGTATCAATTTACCAGCTTCTAATGACGTTGCTTCAATCGAAATAAAAATGATACTCACCTTTTAAAGTAAAATTCGAATGAAAACTTTGTTGTGTGTGTCTTTCCGTGGATTTCTTACTTAAATAATTTAAACTTTGAAGTTACTAATTGTTTGGTAAATAAAGTTATGTAATGTAGTAATTGTAAATGGTTTCCCTTCATGATTAAATATACGATGTTAAAATGAGAAGAATAAGCACTCTTTCTTACGGTTAAATCCTGTTTAGAATGACGTATTTTTTAGTATATTATATATACATTTTAGGATAGCCACTATCCTAAAATGGTACCTAAACACTCTGATAAAAAGAGCTATTTATCTATTTTGATTAATTAGGTTTGCCTTTATTATTCAATTACTTTAACGTATGAATATTATGTATTTCGACTAAATTTGATTACTATAAAAACTGTCCTTATGAGTTTATCTTAGCAGATAGATATAGACTGTCGCGGGCATTTGTTTAAATTATTCTCTTAAGTACATATTTTTTCGGAATCTTGATCCGTTTTCGCAACGCACGTAACGGAATCCCTGAAAGATGAATAATTTTCCCCGTTTTTCCACATTTCATAATATAAAATACCCAACCCTTCCTCGATAAATGACCCAACTAAGACAATTTTTTTTTATCAATTTTATTTAGTATTTCCTGAGCTTAGCGCATTCAAACAAACAAACTCTTCAATAATTTGTTTAGTAATCTTCAAATTAGTCTAGATAATATAGATTACTTTTATGTGTTACCCAAACATGCATATTATATTATATTACTACGTAAAACCTAGCTATAATCTAAATACGATACAGTCTAATATTATTTCTTTATTACATGAGTTTTAATGTCGTTCTTCCCTATTACGGAACGAAGTGCCTATCACGAGGTGTCACAGAAACTTCTACAAACATCAATTATTAATTCAGAACTTCGAAATGAAGGAAGAATGTAAAGAGGTTTTACGCTCTTCATTTTCGACTTTACAAATGATTGTTGCATAGAACTGCGTAGTTCTGTCTTTGGACTAATTGGTATGAAAAGAGGTTTCTCTATACAGGATCACAGATTACAAAGCCGTGAACTCTAATCGCGTTTCGGTTTTAGTCTGTGGATTGCCAAATATCCATAGCCAAAAAATTCCACAGGGCATCTTGTTGATATTACTGCACTCTATCATAAAAAACTTATCATATCTTAACAGTAGTCTTAAAGGGACGTAAAACTGAACCGTAAGTAAACGTAGTGATTTTAATAAAAAAAACTTACGCCTCACTCTGACGGTAGGTCGCTTGAAGGCAGTGCGAAGGTAAGGCATGGACATCACCAGCTCGATATGAGGTGGTGGGGGCAGCTGGAACAGAAAACACATTGATAACAAAAGAATTCAACCTAGGACACATTTCCATTTTTAGGAATTATTTTGTGGTAACTTTTAAACAAAGACACAAAAATACTCCCAGTTAAATTTTGCATACGATTATACGAGTGTGAATGTGTTGAACTTAAACTACACAAAAGATATGTTAAAAGTCAGTTTGTATCGTTTACTTACTGTTTTTGATATTGCGGCCATCCAATCCCTTGGCAGCATAAGAAATAAATGTTGTTAATATGGATTTCGTGTGGTGGTAGGAATATCAAAATTCCGTCCGGGGCACAAACCACCTTCTATAGATTTGGATATCTGAATGTCCAAAGCAAAAATAGATTGACAGCTCATCTTGTTGAGATGTTAAGCTGAAATCTAGTTACATCTAGTAGTAAATTAGTTAAAAGCATTTTAACTACGAGTCCTTGTTTCAAGTGCTTTACAGCATTCGCCACGGGATAATTAAAAAGCACTCATTAATATAGATAAGGTTTTAAACCGTTTTTTTATAATAAGAGGAGAATGAGTTAGGTTATAAGTTTCATAACAATAAATACTGTCTATAGTTTACGCGAATAGTAGGTACATATTTTAATAAAAAACATTAACGGTTTAAAACGCGATATACTAGTTATCACAGTCTCCCCACGACCACGGCTGCTGCAAAGCATCCGAAACGTGGGCCTGAAGTTAAAAATAATTTTTAAATAAGATTAACTAATATATCGCGTTTAAACCGTTAAAGTGTTTTATTTAAATGTGTACTACTCGCGTAAACTATAGACAGTATTTAATAGTTTCGTTGTGTTCAAAGTACTTCGCAACTAAAGAGGCCTCAATAAAAATATGCTACGCCGTTACGGAGCCTGCTATCTTATTATTCGTGTTAGCCTTCTGTATTCTCGTCACGTTTAAAATGTGACAAAGTTTTCAAGCAGCGTGTAATTATTTGTTAATTCAACCGGATTATTACAAATTTGAATCTCAAGATTGTCATTTTCAGCTTTTGAATAGATGAATAGATCGCGTTTAAATAGATTTAGACGGACATACAAATGGAATGTAGCTTATGTTAGCGTTTGGATTAAGCTCGCATACGAAATTACTATAATATATTTTTAATACGATAACATAACAAAGACTTACGATAAAAATAGTAAAAGTAAGAAAATGTCAAGAATCAAAAATATAAATTAAGAAGGCACTAAAATTAAAAATTATTGTTAAATTTATTAAATCTATTTTACATACAATACTTCCTATAAATCCTGCCCTAAATATATTTTCATATTATTCACAGTTAAAATATAAGAATATCAATAAGTTATTAGAGTTTTGATTAAATTAAAACTCGATTGATTTATCAGATACAACACTCCAGTATGATTTGCTTTTAAAACGTATTTTCCGTTGGTATGTTATTAACTAACTGACCTGGAAAAACGTTTTTTTGCCATATTTAGACGAAATTTGATTACCAAAACAGTTTCTTGTAAGTTTATCTTAAAAGATGACATATATCTACTGTCGCATTATTTTTTTTGAATATTAGAAGAAGAATTATACATATTTTGTTCGGCATCTTGAACCGTTTATTTAGCGCACGCATCGAAAAACCTCAAAGATGAATGAATTTCCTCGTTATTTTCGATGTTGCTCTTTTTCTTCCCGCTCCTATTGGTCTTACCTTGATTTATAGCTTAAAGCCTTCCTTAATAAATGTTCACCAACACAAAAAAATCTGGACCAGTTCTTAAGACCAGCGTTTAAACAAACAAAAAAAAATCTTTAGCTACCTACATCAATATTGATTTTGTTTTTATAAGAGAGTTTATGTACAAAACATAGAAACAAAATGGCCGCTTTCATACTGTTGTTAAAGTTACTTAAAATGCTAATAAATTATATTACGTGAAGAGATCCGCTATATCTAATCAACATCTTATTCCCGAGCGGGAAAGAGTTTCGAAGTCACTTTTAAACTTTCGCATACGCTCGAAAATTACTCTAATTACTACATGTTACCACAGACTGTATAATATATTTAACAAGTTACAAGGATATATATATAAAACAAAATATATTGCATACTGCGTTGTTTAAACTTCGCTGAAATAGAACATACAATTTAATTATAGTTTTTTTTTATCAATATTCAATAAAATAATTAAAAAAAAAAAAAACATTTTATGACTGATATTTTATATATTTCTTATAAGAGAAACATATGTTTAGTACTAAGAATGCATAGATTTTGTTGGATTAAAAAGAAACTATACTACCAATAACATGATTTATTAAATGTTTATAGAATAGTAACGAAAACGTATTTTTTTCTGTAGATCTGTGGCGCGCAGACAGCGCAGACAGACTATATATATTATAGTCTTGTACACAGAGTATATTAGAAAAGAGCGCCTACATAACATTCCGACAATATCACGTGCCTTATAAATTACACAGGCGTTTCCTCTATTACTACTCGTCTACAAGGTATATCTTCACACAATATTAAGTATATATTATGTAAATTTACAAAACTTTTTTATTACCATAATTACTAATTGTGTATTGTTTATGGACGCACAAAACAATCGATAGTACATAAATATTTAAATACGTCTGACGCAAAAGGGCCTCAAACACGTATTTTTTTTTGTTTATGAATTTGTATGATCCTTTTTGACTTTCGAAATATCAAAAAATAATATTGCAACAATTTTGAACTATCTAAACTGTACGTCTCAAATGGGAGTTTTATTGTTTTATTATACACGTAGATAAAGTTTTGATAACAAAGGAGTTTTTACAACAAAAAGTATGAGCTAAGTTGGATAGGCACGAAGCCTCGAAGGAAATGATATGAAGCAGTTTTAGAGAAAAATATTATCCCTTCGCCTTTGTGGCACAGTGCTATTGAAACAGTTAGATATAAAAATTACTAAAAAATTATGGTGTATTAAGAATGATATTAACTTGTAAACACTTGTATGGGACATGCTGCGATTATGAGTAATTTTACAGGAAAAAAAGATGTTTATTTTTTAATGAATATTTTATGTGATGCATATAAAAATATTGATTACAAAAAGCCACATATGCATGAGTGTGTTGTAAAATCTTTTTTTTTAAATAGCGTACAATATGATGCAATTAGGAAAATTCGACCCAGAATAGCGTGTCCATATCTAATAAATATAAATTCCCAACTGTTCTAAACACTCTGGGCCCCAGGGTACGAGGCTATAAGGGTGGTCATAAATAACCCACAGATAGGCTTCTACGTAAACAGTTTGAATTGTTTTTTAGTAATTGCTTGGGCGTGCGTATGTTTTGCAAGATTTCAAATAGACGAGCCATTATTTCCAAATAGTACAAATAAATATTTTATTTTTCTTAAAGTGATAAATATATAACATACTTTAACTTTTCAATGGTGTTATTAAGAAATTGTCGCAAACGTTAAATCCACACGCAAGCCATTTTTCATTCAATAGAACACTTTCAACGGATCAACACGCAAATACCTACTTTTTTCTTAATACGACCAGATATTTTGCTTCACTGCTGCTGTGGTTACGGGAAGACTTGTACTTGAGATTTTGGGCCTATAATAATTATTATTTTCTATAAAGGACGCAATAGAAGGCCGGGTGATGAGTTCACATTATTTGCTAACAATTTTAGACTTTTCCCCCTTCCTCCTTTACGGAGGACATGGTAATCCAACTCTGTGTTCTTTTTTAGACGGCAATGTCCTGTTTTGATGTTTACGAAGAGTCAAATATTCGCTCTCGTTAATCTTATTTATTTTTTAGTCTTTTATCTATGCTATGTATGAAAATGTTTGTTTGTCTCATGAATGTCAGTAATTTCCATCTTCGATTGGTTTCAATTACTTTCTTTTATATGTTTTATGATATATTTATAGTACAAATTTAACAATAACTGTATTTGAATATGCCAACGTGAGAATCGAAGAATTATGAATCATAATTCTTCGAGCAATCGAGGAGTTAACATCTCCTGATGATGCCAGCCGCACGTGATGATGTAACGTCGAGAACCTCTTCTCGCTCACGTCGCCCGAACAGCCCGAAAAACAATAATATGCTGAACGGTGGCTGTGAAAGCCTTACACAATTTAATAACTGTATTTATCTGTCATCTCTTAAACAAACATTGTTTGTGCACTGTACGGGTGTAAATTATAAACAAAAGAACGAAGGAACGAAATTAACTTGTCTATCTCAATCCTCTATAAAATCGAGAATATTTAATTAACGATTAGGTTGAACGAAGAATGTTATCCGTTTATGAGGAGGGATTACTCTTTTATTTAAAACGAAACGCTCCGACAGATATTTCATTATTCACTGTCAAAGCAAATCCGGCGAATTAAGAGTATCTACTATCAATTCAGCGTTTAATAAAGTAAATTGGATTTTTATTTTCCCTCATGTCTGAGATGTGGAGTAAACGTACCTTTTTCGAGACGAGTTCTTTTAAGTAAATTAAACGGCGTATTATGTAGGGATATTTTCCATTTTCTAGTGTTTTCAATTTGAGGAATGCTTTCAAATGAATTGTGTAAGGCTTTCACGGTCATCGTTCAGCATATCATTGTCTTTCGGGCTCTTCGGCCGACGTGAGCGAGAAGAGGTTCTCGACGTTTCGCCATCACGTGCGGACGGCATCATCAGGAGATGTTAACTCGGTAGCTCGAAGAATTATGACAATAATTCTTAGGCCTTGCTTTCAAATGGGTTTTATTTATCGCATAATTTGTGATTTATAATGATAAGCAATCAATCTAGAATCAAGTTATTTTCAGTAGCTTAGTTGAGCTTTAGTTTTATAAAAGTGACATGTCTTAAATCAACCATAACTGACTATTGATACGAAACCGAAAATCGGAAAAAAATGACGTTACCCTTTACAGATTATTTCTGTTCGTGAGCGTAAAAATATACAATACTTCATTTTACTACATAATGTTTGATAATGTTTTTTTATATTATGTAGGAGGACAGAAAAACACTGGAGTTCACTTCATCGGAGGTAAAATACTCCAGCCATGCAGCATATAAGCAAGATGCACCGTCAACCTATTTCGGCTTTGGATATTCGGAAATCTACAGACTGAAGCTAAAACTCGATTCCACACGGATTTTACATCTGTGGACGGTGGTTCGTGACCCGGAAATTTCGATATTTCTACTACCCATTTTATATCCACATTTGTTCACAACCAACATGGTTATTTTGGTTCACAAACATCATGGTTTCAGTAAAATTATATTGATTAGAAACATGTCGGACCCACGACTCGTTGATTATTAGCAAAACTACCTCACCTCATTTCAGTATCGGACTTGGCGAGCATCCAGACGACTCTGCCGGGATCCCTTCGCGAGCCAAGTGCCATGAGTTGCGACAACTTGGCACCAGGTGGCAGGGGAGGCCGTCTCGGAACTTGCCCAGTCCACGTCGCGATGGCCAGCATCTCTGGACTTTCCTTCACCAGGTGTTTTTGTGTTGCCATACATTTTCCAGATGCGTCCTGGAGAAGGAATTAGAATCAATTACGGAAAAGAAGAAAATCGTTAATTAAATATAATTTTGCTTAAATATTACATTTTCTTTCAAATCTTAAATGAACATGTGAATGATACAAAGAACAATATTACATTATAAATAACTAAAACAGCTTCTCTAAGGAGATGTTTTGTAAACTGTTTCCAGTGTTTGTATTACTCTTTGTTGTTTTTTATATTACGTAGCAAATCATTAATTCAATGTTTTTTCATTTAACAGCGTAACTTCGATAAAAAAAAACGTTCGTATAACTTAGTTGTTAATAAGTTTAATTTAATAGTCATTTACTGTAAATATTTATTTTTAATAAAAATCAAATGCGATTCGTAATCTAGCGACCACATAGAAAATGCGCAAGCTCATTAAAAGTTGCAGAAATTTCTTCAATTACAAGGGCACTGCGCAAAGTTTGAAACAATAGCAGGTACGAATTAAGAGCTCGGCCCAGGGATGTTTTAATGGGAAAACTTTCTTTCATTTTACACTGCAACCGTCAGCAATATATCGTTAGAATCAATTTCAGTATTTACTCACTCTCTTATCGCTGAGAATTTCAGACATTTTATCACAGAATTGTGTTTGTTTAACGGGTGCGTTAACCTACAGTCACAAGTGTTAGTCCGGTTGGATTTCTTTAAAGAAATTCTCTAGTATTAAGCCTAGAGTTAAGAATCTTCCAGTCATGGAATGGTTTGCTTCACTCGCTTATTTAAAAAATGCAAATAGTTAACAAAATGGCGGATATGTCAAATTGTTATTATCGATTACTCCAGATACACCGTATAAGCTTTTCGTTAGGTGGGGATACGGTACTTACTTCTTCGTTTATTTATTTACCTGAACCACAATTTTCACGAAAAATCCAGTTGTTGCTGAGTATATTAGCTTCACTAGATTTTCGTTAATGCATATTCGCAACGAAGAGTAATAAATAGATCAAACATTTTTTCTATTATTTAAGTTTCTAAAACGATTCCATATAGTAAATAAATATTGAATAAAAACTAACCAAAAATTATACAATTCCTTACTTATCTTTGAATAATTAAATCAAATACTAAGCCTTGAAAACGATACTCTTTCTAATGGAAAGGCTTCGCCGAAAATAATTATTTGCTGAACGAAAATCTTTGCAGGGCAGACAGAAGACACCAACAAACTTATGCGATAACCATAAATAAATATTCTTACGATAAATCGTGTAACTTTCGTCCAACTACAAATATCTATATTATTTCCAACTCCATTCGACTGATAAAGCGTCTAATAGGAACGATTATTATTATGTTTTATTCATTCATCTATACTAATATATAAAGCTGAAACGTTTGTTTTTTTGTTTGTTTAAACGCGCTAGTCTCAGGAACTACTGGTTCGAATGGAATAGTTATTTTTGCGCTTGGCTATATAACATCGCGCCGTGGCTATTAGGAGCGAAGGAACAGCGGGAAATGTGACAAAAACGGGAAAAAATATTCATCTTGCAGCGTTTCCGTTGCGTGCACTGTGAAAACGGTTCAAGAAACCAAAACAATACGTACGGAAGGATCACTCCTGTTTGAATGGTCTAAGAAAAGTCCGCGACGCTACATGTCTATCTTTTAAGATTAACTCTAACTTGCAAGAACGACCGTAACGACGGAACGCGTACGACGGGATGTTATAAAGATAAGGAGGAAGTTCGAAAAACAAATTTTGACGCCCAAAATAACTATTCTATGCGGACGAAGTCGTTGGCAGAGCTAGTATGTAATAAAATTACGTTTCTTTAATACTTTCATTATAGACGTGAGATATCTCCCGTGGGGCTTTGGGTCCGGTTCTTGTACAAGTTTATACTTTGATAACATACATAGTACAGTTTAACTGTAATATTACAATGAATGTTGCACTAACGTATTATTTCCCACAGCTGGGCATAGTTCGTCTCTCTCACCCACCACGCTACAAAGGTGCAATTTGGCGGGTTATCTAGACTTCCTCCTTCTATTCCTCTCCAGACCTCATAGTATCTATGCAGTCAGTTGCACTAACCACTAGACCGAGTCCTTAAGTCACTATTTAAGTAAAACTTCTATTTGTTTAACTCTGTATTGTATATAAAAGATATGTCAAAAATAGTCTTAAAAACACAACAATTATAGAAAAGAAAAAATATATATTATTTAGTTATGTGTATATATTATGGAGTGTAATAGTCGGCCTTATCGCCATAGAACGATCACTTCCAGGCAACCTTTCTTAGTCTATCGGAAAAGCGTAGTCTACAATTGAAGGAGCATAGAAATTGTAATTCATTATATATATTTTGAAGAGAAAATTCCAAAAGACTCTTTAACTATGAATTATTTTGTTCACTTCCTCGTATTTATAACAGCGAAAAGTTATTCAGAATAGCGTAACAATATCATTCAATTCTGAGCTCTTGGTGTGAACACAATGCGAGCCAGGGGTCCGTCAGGTGACAATGGCCCTTAGCCAGCTAACGAATGCTAAATTGCACCTATGAATGCTAAAATGTTCCTTTTCATAATGACACCCCCTTTAATGTCTGTACTCTACGCGAGTATACATTTAAATAAAACACTTTAACGGTTTAAAACACGATATATATTAGTTAAACTTATTAAAAAAAAAAAACTACGGCCCGACGTTTCGGATGCTTTGCAGCAGCCGTGGTCACGGGGAGACTAAAGAACAGATGGCGCTAGCGTAACAGTTTTCTACTCTGACGGCATACACCCTTCATCTTTATTCTCCCTGTGACCATGGCTGCTGCAAAGCATCCGAAACATATCCGAAATAAGTTAAACTAATATATATCGTGTTTGAATCCGTTAAAGTGTGTTATTTAGACACTACCTTTTTCATTTATCCGCTTCTCTTTTATGCACTATTCAAATTCTAAACCCTGGAGACTGCAGTTTCTAATTTGTGTCGCGATTTTTTATAATGGAATATTTCTCTTCATGTTGCGAGTAGAATGATATTGTGTTGCGTGGAAAAATACAAGTGGATAGCGCGCCATTTATTTCATATCGTGAAAGCGCATAGTGGTGATACAAAGATATTGTGTAAAGACATTATTATGAATGAGTCATCAAGTTTGTGGTTTGCGTTAGATAAGAGGCAAATTAAGTTAATCAAAATTGATATTAAGATGTGCCGGAAGTAAGTATAAAAACATGCAGACAATACAATTCAATACATAAACCATTGTTCTGAAGGAAAACCTCATTATACAACCCTTATCGCCATTTAAATATACTCTTTTATGACGCAGGAAATAAATATTGTTTGTAATTTCCGCAAGTAGTACACATCTACAACTTTAACGGTTTAAATCAGCTGCTGCAAAGTTTCCGAAACGTGCCGTAGTTAAAATAATTTGTAAAGTTTATTATTTATTATTTAGTTATTAGTTTATTATTTCCTATTTTATTAATATTATACCTAAAATAAAATTTGTTAGTATAGTATGTTGTGTCTTACAAACGCTTTGAATGATTTTAATAAAATTTGTTATTTTAGTCCGATTCCTAGAACCTTTTTGTCGAATCCCTGCGTTGAAATAAAACACTTTAACAGTTTAAAACGCGATAGATATTAGTTAAATTGATTTGGAAATTAGTAAGTAGTAAAAATAATTTCCAAATGAGTTTAACTAATATACATCGCGTTTTATACCGTTAACGCGTTTTATTTCAATAAAGGCTTGCTTAAAACAAGTGCAGGCCCGCTTCATTCATATTCCAACACCCGTCTGCTTTATTATTCCACGACAATCCGTCCTCTGTCAGCTGCAAACGAGTTTTTTCATAATAACGATGACAATTTATTCCCTTCAGCCATCTTGCTCGGCTTCGAGGCGGTAACAATGCGATTAATTAAAAACTTATCTCTTTTTTTATTATCTGTTAACAAGAGCCATTTTTTATCTGAATTAATTAAATGGTTTAAACAAGTCGCCGTTATGAGAGATACTTATTATGTTTTATCATTTTAATTTATCTCGCGTTGCGGTGGAATGGCGTTTCAGTCCAGCATCTAACGAATAAGTCATTTAATATTATTTTCTACATAAAACTGAATAAGTGTCTTAACAAAAAATATAACAGTTAGTAACTATATTTTCTTATAGGCGCTTCCGTCTCTTAAACAATATGAAGTTATCTTCTGATTCATGTAATCTACTTATTACTAGTTGGTGCTATTTTTTTAACTACTAAATAAAAAAGGGAAGGTTTAAAATTACGAATATTAATTGTGTATGCCGATTCAAGTCCCGTTCGTGTGATAGATTTTTTTGTTTGTTTAGGACAGATTTAAATATATCAATTTAACGGTTTAAAATGTGAAAAAAATAGTTACCGTATTTTAAATTAATTTTATCTAGGGTCCGATGTTTCGAACACCTCCAACAATCGTTGACCACGCTACTGCAAAGCAGCCGAAACGTCGTGTCGCAGTTATAATATATTGTTTAAACCGTTAAAAATGTTAAATACATAATTTTTTTATCTCGGTTTATAAATATTATATTTGTTTAGCACTGTGGAATATAGTGCGTAGCAGTTAGGAAACAGCACAAGTCTTAACGGTGGTGAAACCTGATTTATCCCTCGAAAACCCTTCCTCGATCAAACGCTGACACATTCCGAATAAAACTGCGATCAAGTGTCGCACGAGTATAATTGATGGAGCGCTCCAACCAATTTATTACCGCCTCTGTTCAAATTTCCAAACTAAAAGATGCTCTTCAGTCACCCGAATCTACATAATGATACTACTAGACATTTTTAAATAAAACACTTTAACGGTTTAAAACGCGATATATTAGTTAAACTTATTCGGCCCGACGTTTCGGATGCTTTGTAGCAGCCGTGGTCACGGGGAGAAACGTCGGGCCGAAGTTAAAAATCATTTTCAAATAAGTTTAACTAATATATCGGCCCGAATTTTAAACCGTTAAAGTGTTTTATTTAAATTTGAACTACTCCGTAAACATAGACAGTTACTACTAGACTTGTCTACGAAGCGCCTTCGCCTTTTTGATTATGTTTGTCTTATTTAGTCCGTCAGGTACAGCAGTCTACAACAACTTTTACCTTTATTCGTTTAAAACGCGACACATTTCAGTTAAGTTATTTTTAATTTATCTCAACTATGACCGACTTTCGAATGATTAACATTTTTACGTTTTAAACTTAAAAGATTTTTTACTACTCGCAAACTACAGATGATAATGAAGTCCTTAATGTTTCAGTTGAATAGACATAGAAAATCTTATTGTATAGTTTATCGGCATTATACTTCTAATTATTTTTTTAAGTATTCAAATGTAATCTACTAATTCTGTAGTATCAATAATCAATCTGTTATATTCCGAAGAAGGTATTGGGCTATAAAGAGTTACGCTGCGGCCAATAGGAGGAAAATGTGGAATAAAAGGGGAAAAATATCCACCTTTATTTTCGTTGCGTGTGCTACGAAAATGGTTCAACATACCCAAAAAAATTATGTAAAAATCCCTCTAAATTATGTCTCTCTCTTTAAATTAA